ATTGTTTCATCCCCGTAGTTCTAGCACACAGTGAAATACTTGGCACCTGATAGACAATACATATTGTTTGCCTTTAATTAGAAGAACAGAATTAAGCAAGTAGACATTTATTTTCTCATGATCGATCTGTGCTAAAACGTTAAGACCTATGTGTTCTGTCTGTAAAATACTCTTGAGTCAGAAAATACTTCCGTGTTTTCTGATGAATAGAAGGATAATGGATGGATTTACCTAATTTATTTTCCCTGCTGATTGCAAGCAAGGCTTGCAGTTGGATCACATAAATGAATTATTTTTAGATTGTATATAAAATAAATCAAACCTCATTAGATATTTACTATTTCTCAGGTCTAACTAGTCAAGGCAGATGTTTGCCATTCTTTCAGCCTTTGTATTTGGGTCCACCTACTCCAGATAATTTGTTCAGTTGCATTATTTTCAAGTTGAAAGTTTTAGATTGCATTATTCCCAGGGACCCTGTGCTTGGCACTCGAAGAAGTTATTAAACCTCTCCTTTTGAAATTATTTCGTTCCCTGTTATTATCTCCCCAAAAGGTTTTATTTTTCACCATTAACATCTTGGAACCTTCTGTTGTGCCTCATGACACACTGTCCAATCTGCACATCATTGCAATGAGCCTCTAAAATTTATGTCAAGGTTATATTAGTGATTTTTAGTATTCTTCTTTGCAACATCACAAATCAGTGGCACAGTTTGCCTTAATAAAAAGTTGGTTTCTTGTTCTTCTCCATCAATAAAGAAGAATAAAAATCACAAAAGACATTTTAAAAACTTGCTTTTTAGACAGCAGAGCTTTGCAAGTCATTTCTCTGTAGCTATGCTTATAACTATTCTTGGCGGTGGGATACTTACATCTGTTTAAATTTAGAAAAAAGGCTGGCCAGTTCACCATTATGTTGGCTGTAAGTTCTTATCCTAACTAAATATTCAAAATAATTGAAAGATATTTTGAATCCTTGTCTTCAAATGGGTCAGAACATATGATTAAGAATTGTGGAAAGTTCATGGAGTTTTTTTTTTTTTTTTCCTGTGAATGCATGACTTTGGTCTTTGAATTCGGAGAGGGTCTGATTTAGTTCCAAAAATTTTAAGTCATTTTGTTTGTAACTTGCAACATTTTCCCACAGAAACTGGGAGTTGTATTTGTTGGTGGGATATGCAGTATCTTAAAATGTTGTACTAATAGAACCTGACATCATGCTATGAAACATCACCATGTGTAGTTTTTTCCTTTGGATTGGTCATTTGAGAGAAAACTCATGGAAATCTTGGTAGATGTGTCCATTTTCCAGGCTGTAGCTTTGAATAACTGGCAGGAGTCTCTCCATGAAATCCCCACCCCTCATGTCTAATAACAAATCATACTAAAACCTGTTTTGTTTTTCTTGCTCATTTTTAATATTTGCTGAAAGTAGCTATAATCACATTATAGATACATGTCCTTTTGGAGCTTGAATACTAATGGGTGTGTGAAAGAGAAAGCATGTATTAAATTCATAGCCTAAAGTATAGTGAACACTCTTTAAATATTACCATTATAACTATTGTTCATGAATCATTCCTAGCATGGTAAATTATTGAGTAACTACATCTACATTGCATTGATGGGGTTTAAAATACTTATCATCTAGAATTAAATTGCCTTTTTCCTCCTGGCTTTTTAAGAACTTCTTCAAAGTAGTTTGTAAGAGTTAGCAAAGTTTTCATAGATCTGTCAACTTGTCACTTTGTTTTCATCAAGCTTGAATTTCCTCTTTTGCTTATTACTTTAAAAAAATACAAACTTTACAAATGGTAAAAGTTTAACATGCATTTTAAATACATTACATTATTTTAAATGATTATTTCCTTTGACCATTTAGCACTCCTGCAATCACATGCTCAGATGGATTAGCATTTGACTTATGTCAGAGTAGGAGCATGGGAAAAAAAAAAGGAGCACTTAATTGGAATTTCACAGCGATTTCCACATAAATCAGCTTAAACAAGGTGTATTAATGTATAGCAATCAGGAATTGACTAATCTGTGTAAATATGTGTGTCAAAAGATGATTTAAAGTGTTGAAAAAATCCTACACAATAGAACTCCCAGCTTGGTCATGTCACAAAGCATGAAAGCCCGTTCTTTGGCCAAAACTAGAATTATTACTGTAGATTTTGATTACATTTTTGTAATCAGATTATGATACTGTCATTTTGATTACAGCTGTCATAAAGGGTAATATATAGCAATATAACAGACTGTTCAGTTAAACCTGTTTTCTGGTTAGATTTAATTTTAAAACCAGACCGCTTCAAATCACAGTCATCACAAAATGAATTTAAGTGATCACTTGTTTCAAGTAAAAATTTTTAAAAAATATTTTATTTTTCCATTTTTAGGGCTATAGAAGTAAATTGAGAAAGATTTTGGCTAGAATAAGAAAATTTGTAATTTATGTATACTTTGCATTATTATTTTGATGGTATCATAGCATGTCGTATAATCTTAATTTCTATATTCTACATTGAGCACCAATTTGCAAACAAATTTTCTTTGATATTTCCAGCTAACTTGGTTAATATTTAATTTTATATATGTAAATGTAATATTGGTGGGTCTTTTTCTTTTTTTCTTCTACCTCAAAAAAAAAAAGAGTGACCCTAACAGTACAATAACTATGACTTAATTATTTGTAGAATGTTTATTTTGAAGGAGAAATATGTTATGTAACAGAAAAGTTATTACAGTGAGCGACTTTTATGCTCAGAAATATATTTCCATTTTTAAAAGCATTTTATAGATCTATAGTAATGGAAGTGTAAATCTGCCTAAATATTGCCATCCTCTTGTACTTTAAAATGTAAAATCCAAATGAAATGATTTATCATCTTTATGATAGTTTTACAGTTAATATTAGAACAGTCTGTGGTAGTAAAACTTAAGAAACTTACTGAACTTTTGAATTCCCAAATATTCCTTTTATACCTTTGTTTTGTTGCCATATTTTCAAAATAGTATTAAAACAAACACTTTATTCTTTGGAAATCCAAATATTAAAAAAGTAAGAACATTAATTATGTCAACTTTCCATTGTATTATAGGAAGAAAATTGCATTTATGATAAGTTTGCAATTTTAAGGTTTTCAGAATCTTGAAATACTATACATTTTTTATTTGGCCCTTTACCTTGTTTTGATACATCCTTTAAAGAAATTGTTAAAAATAAGTCCATACTTCTCAGTTGAATAAATTCAAGTCTGAAATTACGGTGTTCTTTGAAAAGGTATATAATCATATCAAAGCAGTATTCTCTAATGTTATTAAGAAGTTGCCATTTGAATATGAAGGGAGAATAATAAAAAAATTTTATTTTAACTCCTGTTTTAGATTTTAAAGTTTTCATAGATACTATATTTTAGGGTGTGTTGGCTTTCTGTGGTTGTCGTTTGTTTGTTTTTTTCTACACTGGGGATTGAATCCAAGGCTGAGCTACATCCCCAGCCTTTTTAAACATTTTTAAAATTTTTAGACAGGATTTTGCGAAGTCACTAAGTTGCCTAGGTTGATCCTGAACCTGTAATCCTTCTGCCTCTGTCTCTCAAAATCTTGGAATTATGGGTGTACACCACCGTGCGGCTGGGCATTAAGTTTTGATTTTCATTTTATCCCTAAGAAAACCAGAGAATTTTTCTGTTTCTTAGTTTATAAGAGCATTTGTTCAGTTACTGAAATTTGGACTATTTATAATGTGCTAGGTACTCTGCTGGGTATGTAATGATGAAATCAAGTGCCCACCTTTAGGAAATCTCAACCTGCATTTATATTGTACTAAACCCATTGTTAAAGCATACGGTGTATTTAAGGCACTTAACCAAATCTTGGCACATAGTGAGATCTCAATAAAGGAGAGAGTTATTATTCACAATGCATGACATTCTTTATAGCTATTTTTCATCTACTGAAGAATGGAGGTCAAAATTTCACTTAAATGTTAAAGTCAAATGAAGTGATTTATCATTTCTGTGATGGTATTGTGTCAAAAATATCAGAGCAACTCATAGTAACAATGAAACTTCAAAAAATTTGTGGAACATTTAGACACCAAAAAGTCTTTTTTTCATACCTTTACTACAAGAGTAACTATAAGTATTCCACACATATCTCTTGAAAATTTATGAGTAACATAGTTTGATAAAATGAGACAAACAGAATTATGTGGCAACTCACTATACTGCAAAGACAAATGCTTTTGGATTAATTTTATATTTTCTTGAGATAAAATGTTATTTCTCAGATACTTTAAAGCAAGTAATAAGATCAGAAACCCCACTCTTTGTTACAGAGCCATGCAGTAAATTAACCATTAACAACTTGGGATTCCAAGTAACTATATATTTCAAATGACCTGAACATAAATAATAACGTGATATAATATGTTTTAAAATTCATTGTAAACATATAACATTAAAATTATTTTTTGGTAAGTATAATATTTAGAACTGTACTATTTAATATAATCCCTAGTCACAAGTCTATTTCATTTGGATTAAACATTCACTTATCTTGTCACATGAGGCTCACCTCAATAGCTCAGTCACTGCCTGTGGCTAGTACATACCATGTTAGACAAGGCAGACCAGACACCTCCATCATCACAGATTATTCTCTCAGAGAGTGTTGCTGTAGTGTGCCTTAAATCCATGAATATTAAATATTTACTATTTATGATTATGACCCCACAGAAAATGAACTAGCAAGCGGTGGTGTATGACAGTTTGAGTCTTTTCTACCATATCTTCCAAATCTTGATGCGATTATTTGGTAAGCACTTTGGCCAGTGACGGCCATTTAAAATGACTTTGATTTCAGTACAAGTTATAACTGAGTAAAGTCTTAGGAAATGAAGTCCTTTTACTCCATGAATTTAAGGAACCAGAGTTTTGAGTATTGTCTGAAAGAAGTGGCTAATCAACAAGATCAATGCTTTCTCCACAGCACCTTCCAAACCCTTTCTTCTGAGTACCCCGCCATTCTACTCCGCGTGCTGTGGTGGGTCCTGTCGGCGTCCTGCATCCCCCACTGCCTTTCCAAGTAAGTTTTTAATGCTTCATCAGCAATGTCTCAGCTATTCTGTAAACCAAAGCAGCAGGATTTAATGTGCTCAGGGAAGCTAATTGGTAATGCAATGGCAATGAGCTAATTCCTCACTAAAAATCACAGTGATCCTATTCAGGAGGTTTCCAGAGATTTATCAAACCTCAGCACAGTGAGCAATTGTGAGTGGTTTCTAATAGCATTGAAACCCAGAGCTGACACACCAAGGAAAGCGACTTATTTCCCATTTGACATAAAAGATCTCACAGGGACCAGTTTGGCTCTTTCTGAAACATGTAGCAACGCTCCTCCAAAGAAGAGGGGAAAAATGAAAAGGAAGAAATTGTGTTGTGTAAAACATCCGCCAGCTTAAAAAGTGACACAGAAAGTCATGAGATGTCTGTGGAACATAGTTATAAATTGTCAAGATCATAAAAAGAGAGAAATGTCTCTTGTTTATCATCTTGAAAAAAACCAACCATAGCTGTGTGAAAGATTTCCAAGAGAACTTTAGACGTCAAGAAAGTAAAATTTTCATAGTGTCTGGAAGTGGAATGAGAATGACAAACTTTCCAAAACTCATGGTGCAGGTGCACATACACACACACAAAGATTCATTTTTATCTGAAGGTAAAATTCATGTTGGTCTTGAGATGTCTAGTTAGAATAAGAATTTGTAGGCAGAGAATTTGAGTTTATGATACATCTAGTGGGGAGAGGTATGTTTATTTCAGCTGCCCAAGAAAAAAAAACATTTATTGAGGTCGATGGCTCTGTTAGGTGACAAGCGAAGTGTTGAGTCAGGCTGAAGCACAGAGCTCCATCATAGTTGAATTCAGATCCCTGCTGCCTCTGCGTCTGTGTTTTATGAATGTTTCAGGAGAGCAGTCAACAGAATGTTTCCTGACAAGTGAGGCAGCAAATGTTGGCGGTTTAATGAGCTGCAAGTTTCTGAGCATCTCTTTAGGGGGCTGATACTTTCCCACAGAGCACTTTACAAGGCTGGGACCTGGCCACAATGGGTGACAGACCCGTGACCAATCGTCACTTTCACTTGACTCATCCACACGCGACCCCACCACGATTTTTCACTCTGCAGATGAACTTTAGGAACCATTTCACATGGAAAAGGCTTGGGCAAGGGTCAGTTGCCCTTTTGTATGGTCATAAAGCGAGGCTCTGTGTGCCAGTCTTTTCTCCTGTCTCACATTCCAAGTGAATTTCTGGACATTATTTAAAGCACTTGACTGAAAAATAAAGCAGTGAATGAAACTGACTTTTATAGACTCATTCTAGCTCATCTTCCCATATAACCCTGTCCACCTGAAAAGGGATTTAGTGGATGAGCTGAGTGTATACAGGGACTTGCTGAATACATAGGTCCCATTATCAACTGTGGGGATTGTTTATTAACCAGGACTGATACACTACTATTTTTGAAGTGACCTATTAATTGTCCATTTAACTAGAATGTATTGAATTCAAATAGAAAAATAGAAACCATGACTAAACCTTTTACTCGCTCCTTCAAGGTGGTCTGCTGTGAGGGTGATTGAAAACTGTTGTGCAAATTAAGGAGCTATTTATCACCATATATTAGAGTAGAAGGCAAAGACTTCATCAGTGGAGACTTAAAACCCGAATATTTGACATCGTATCATAATGGCATATCTGCAGAATTAAGTCTTTAGTGTTAGATTTTAAGAGAGGTGATTGAAAGAGGTTTCACACTTAGTTTTGTTTATTTCACTTTGATGTAATATTTAACTTTTAAATCTCTGGCAGTACAATTCAGGTAAGTGGAAATGTGCAAAAAATTCCAGGCAACAGGTGAATGTTCACCTATGTATGTATGAGTGTGTGTATTATTTTATAGTGGTGTTTTAAGTCTTTAAAAAGTTGAGTCAATGTAATTGCTAGAATACATAAAAGTAATGCTAAAGATATTTCCTAGATAACTTCATCTTCTCAACTGCTTGAAAGATTACTTTAAATAGGTCTCACTTTCTTCCATCTATGTTTTAATCCTTCCTACTTTGTGCCTTTTGCATCACTGTTGTAAGTTGTGGTGTTTTTCCGTAGAGGTTTAAAGTCCCATGTTTATCTTTTTAAAATAAACATAAAAGTAGAAAGTCAGCACAGCTCAGGTCAAGGATAGAAAATGTTGCACTTGGTCTGTCTCCCTTTCTAAAGTTGGCATTTAAAAACAGTTTAAGATATCACAAGTGTTTTTTTTCTTTTGGTATCGGGGATTGAACTCAGGTAACCACAAGTGTTTTTAATAAACATTTGTGTCTCATGTTATTAGTTACAGCTCTAAAATGAATTTCTTATTTTCTTGTTTATAATATTCATTCATATTGGCAGGAGCTACTAACGAAATAGTGGAATTATGCTTTCAATAAAGAGTTTGTATAAATAACCATGCTACCAAGGAACAGTTAATGAGGTTTACATCTGTACAGTCCTTTTTTTTCTAAAGGTGTTTACTAGATTTTCTTTTTCTCTTCTTTTTTTTTTTTTAATAATAAGAGTGAAATTTATGCCCAAGCTTTTAAATTATTTTCCATTGTACGAAAGAAGGAAAATGAACTGTCCAAGTCAACTTGTATTAAGTTTCAGATCAGACAGCCAAAATTAAAGTTTATTCTAAAAATTTTAATAACTGATGAAATTGATGGCCCTCACCATTGCTTAACAGTGTTGACTTCACTCTCCAAAAGCATAGAATCAGATCAACTTGTAATTGTGCAATTGAAATACCCCTTTGACTCTACATGATTCATTTGTTTAATATTGATTCTGTTTTTCTTAGATTTATGATCAACTCCTTATTGCAGTGTGGAAACAGTCATTCACTCAGTGCCCTTCTCACATGCAATAAATGGTTTAATAGGCTATTTAAGCTCAATTCTTACAGTGGGGAAAATTAAAAGGCAGTGGTAAAAGTTTTCCCCTCCCCTAAAGCAGTGCATGGAAAATCTTTGATATTATATCCATCAGGTTCTTTTCAAAATAACACATTTCTCAGCTAAAATAAAGGGAAAATTGTGGAGATTAATGTAGATAATAACTTTTTAAAAACAATCTTGAAAAATACAGGCATCTTAATTATGTAGGCTAGCTAATTGAGTTAATCAGATAATTATTTCATTTTGTCTTCAAGTACCCAACTTGAATTTGACCTTTTAAGACTTTTATACCTTAAAAGACAACACTTCAGTTTGGAGCAACATCATAAAAATCTGAGCAGGGAAAATAATCCTGTGGGACAAACTACTCTGTTTTTCTGGGGAGATGAATTTACTTCTTTTGTTTGAGATTATTTTGCCATCTTCACTTTCTTGTTAAATTTAAGAGAATGCTTGACTTTAGGGTTTTGTTGAAGGGAAGTGACAGTTATTTTTATTGTTGTGAATTTAGGTTGGTTCTGTGAGTTTCACTGTCAAAGATGGAAAATTCTCTAGTTAGTATTCTTGCCACCTGACCTGGCTGTTTGTTTCACTGCTTTCAGCTGGAGTGGTTAGTGGGCTGAGGAAACTGACATATGGAAACCCACAAAACCCCACACAATCTGTGTGTGTGTGTGTGTGTGTGTGTGTGTGTGTGTGTGTGTATTTAAACTGTACCACAGTAAAGGCTTCAAAGGGATGCTTTTTTTCTAATGAAGAAGCCTAATTATATTGTTTGAAACATAATGGAATTTGTGCAAAAGGTGAATATAGGTATTGACTTCTTGAAAGTGAAGGGCGGGTGTTGCATAGATAAATGGCATTCACTCAACCAAGGGGAATGTTTAAAGGAGTCAGAGACTCAAAGACAATAGTTTTTCCAAGTTGATGGCTCTATTCAGCAGTTTTAGAGAGACAATGAAAGTGTTGGAGTAACTTTCCTGGAATGGAGTCCTCCCCACCCCCCAGCTATTTAGTCCAGAGGGTGATGGGCTGCTTAGCAATATAAAGTGCTTGTCCCTGATTTTGTCTTAATTCCTTTGCCTGAGAATAACATGAACTGTAATAGAATGGCTTGTAAAGTGCTGATTTTGGCTTCTCATTAAAGAAGTATACACATACAAAATAAGGGAAAGAGAGAATAGGTTGGGTAGAGCAAAGCAGGAAAGGGAATGTCCTGACAGACTGTGAGGATGTTAGATTGTGCTTTTAACAGTAGTCTATACAGATGAGGGAGATGACAGTCCTGAACTTTGAAATGGTCAGATTGCCTATACCTATTAAGTTCTGAAGACTCACTTTAAAAAGTACATTCAACAAACTCATGGAAAAACTAGTCAAGATGTAGAGGTCAACTAAAACAAGGAAAGCTCTCTATGACTGTCAGTCAGAAATTCTGAAATTAACTGAACAGTTGGCCTGAACATAGGAAATGATAGGGAGTGCATGATAGTTATCTTCAAATTAGATACACTGTATAAAATATACATATAAGGAATAAAATTGGAACCATTAAATAGAGTTTAGAGGAAGTTAACTTTGGGGTTGATGTAAGGGAAATACAGCAAATCAGGCTATGCGATAAATATAAACATAGCATCTCAAATAGTAGAGGTTGCAGGATAAACTTCTCTCTCTCGAGTTCAAATCTGTTGAAATTACACCGTACACACACACACATGCACAAACACGAATACACACACATGCATGTGCACACATGAACATAAGAAGGGTAAGGAAGCTCTTCATGTTAAAGAAGATCCTGAAAGTAGGAGATGAGAAGTTATAACTATTAGGAATGCTGCTGTGTGAAAAGAAGAGCCCACAGACAAGAACTGTGGAGGAGAAGTGATCCAAGGCAGAAAAGACACAGACTTGAAGGCTTGAGATAACATACATTTGAGGAAACAGTTAATGGAAGCTGATGGCATTTTAGCTGACCAGTTCTGAGAAGCTATTATTTGTGAAAGGGCTGTTTGGTAGCCTCCATCTTGATTGGTCCTAAAATAATCTTAAATATTTTTACTAGAAGGCTTTGATTCAGTG